CAGGCTGGCTTCCTTCTAGCATGACTAGGAATGCGATGGCTTACAATGTTCAGCAAGGTGTGCCTCTGTGCTAGCTGTGTCCAGCATATACTGCCTTTAATCTCAGTCGACTTTAGTGCGCTTAGTTGTTTTTTTTTTTTTTTTTTTTTTTGAGAGAGAGTTTCGCTCTTGTTGCCCAGGATGGTGTGCAATGGTGCAATCTCGGCTCACCGCAACCTCCGCCTCCCGGGTTCAAGTGATTCTCCTGCCTCGGCCTCTGGAGTGGCTGGGATTACAGGCATGTACCACCATGCCTGACTAATTTTTGTATTTTTAGTAGAGACGGAGTTTCTCCATGTTGGTCAGGCTGGTGTCGAACTCCCGACCTCAGGTGATCCACCCGCCTCAGCCTCCCAAAGTGCTGGAATTACAGGAATGAGCCACCACGCCTGGCCTGAAGTTAAAGATCTTTCTGAACTATAACAGTACTTTATAGTATATTTTTGTTTCCCAAGTCCCTTTGTATTTAGAATTCTAGTTTCCTTTTTTTCTCCTTAAATAGGTTTGTGTGTTTTTTTTTAAAGTATGCCATGATTCATGTAAAACACTTTGAAAATACAGTGTAGTGTTAAAAAAAAAGTCACTGGTAATCTATCTGGAGATTATCAACTGTTAATTTTTGGTGTATTTTCAGTGTTCTCTGTGTGTATGTAGTTGAGCTCATTTCTATATGTACAGTTTTTGTGTACTGTGCTTTTCACTTAATAAATATTTTTCTCTCTTTCATTTTTTATTATTTATTATTGAGACAGGGCCTCACTTTGTTGCCCAGACTAGTTTCAAACTCCTGGACTCAAGCGATCTTCCTGCCTCGGCCTCCCAGAGTGCTGAGATTACAAGCAAGAGCCACCCAACCCAGCCACATAAATATTACTGTGTTCTTTATAAAAATGTTTAATGACATGGGAAACTCATTCATTTTATTTTAATTAAATTATTATTTTTTTGTAGAGGTAGAGTCTTGTTATGTTGCTCAGGCTGGACTCCTGGGCTCAGGTGATCCTCCTGCCTCAGCCTCTCAAGTAGCCGAGACTTCAGGTGCACACCACCACACCTGGCTTGAGAAACTCATTTTAAACGGAAAGAAGATATGAAACAACATATGTGATATCCTATTAGTGTAAATGAAAAAAAGCAGACTGCATAAACATAGAAAGCTGGATTACTTCTACATTTTGGAGGAAAAACAAAAATTTTTTTTTTTTTGAGAAAGCAGTCTCTGTTGCCCAGGGTGGAATGTGTTGGCGCGATCTTGGCTCACTGCAACATCCGCCTCCCAGGTTGAAGTGATTCTTGTGCCTCAGCCTCCCGAGTAGCTGGAATTATAGGTGTGCACCACTGTGCTCAGATAATTGTTGTATTTTTAGTAGAGATGGGGTTTCACCAGGTTGGCCAGGCTGGTCTTGAACTCCTGACCTCAAGTGATCTGCCTGCCTTGGCCTCCTAAAGTCCTGGGATTACAGGCGTGAGCCACCGCACCCGGATACAAAAATGTCTGATTTTTAAAACCTAAGAAATAGGTTTTTTCCTTTCCATTCTGCCCACTTTATGGGGTTGTGTATTATTATTATGACTGTTTCATAATTTACTGATACATGTTGCATTTGTTAATAAAATTTATTACCATTTATTGTTAGCATACTTTACCGTATCATTTACTATAAGCAATTCCTTCTGAAACATTTAGGTTATTTAAATTTCAACTATTGTAAACAGTGTTGCAATGAACATTTTTGACTGCAACATTGTTTTATTTTTATTTTTTGAGACAGAATTTCACTCTTGTTGCCCAGGCTGGAGTGCAATGGCACGATCGCAGATCACTGCAACCACTGCCTCCCAGGTTTGAGTGATTGTTCTGCCTCAGCCTCCTGAGTAGCTGGGATTACAGGCATGTGCCACCACACCCAGCTAATTTTTGTATTTTTTGTAAAGATGGGGTTTCTCCATATTGGTCAGGTTGGTCTTGAACTCCTGACCTGAAGTGATCCACCTGCCTTGGCCTCCCAAAATGCTGTGATTACAGGTGTGAGCCACCGCGCCCAGCCTGCAACGTTATTTTAAAGTGAGAAATGCGCTGTGTAGGTTCCTTTTCAGTGGGCACGTGAGTAACTCACATTACTCATGTTACTCATAAAAAATCTTTTCCAGAATCTTGATTGAAAGGGGCATAAATGTTTTCTCTGTTACTATTTCCTCCTTGCGCTTTGACTAGGTTTTGCAGCCACCCTTGATGATGACAAACCTTGGTACTCCATTTTTCCCATTGACAATGAGGATCTGGTGTATGGACGCTGGGAGGACAATATCATTTGGGATGCTCAGGCCATGCCCCGGCTGTTGGAACCTCCTGTTTTGACACTTGATCCCAATGATGAGAACCTCATTTTGGGTATATTACTGGCAGAGGCCAGTGTTCCTTCTCCTTTGACAACTTGCTGTTAATGTCAACGGGCAGGAGGAAATCAGAAGGGTTGGAGAAGATTAGGACTAGAAACTTACAGGTAGTGGCTTGAAAGAGCAAAGTTTTGGCTGTTAGTTTATATTATTTGTGTATATGCTTAGGGAACACTCATGTAGGAATATTGGAAAGTTGCAACTTTGAAATGTCAGGAGCATAGTTTGTTCCGTTAGTGAATCATGGACTGGAAACTTCTAGGTAGCAGTTTCAGAGAGAGCAAAGTTGTAGCTGTTAGTTTTTAATTTGTGTATCCCCTAGGGAAAACTCATGTAGGAATGTCAGTAGTACCTTTGAGATGTCAAGCGTGTAGTTCAGTTAGTAAATTATGGACTAGAAGTTACCTGGGGTGGGATGAAAGATCTAGTTAAGAACTTCATTGGGACATCCATTACCTTAAAAAAGAAGAAAACTGGATACTTGTCTGTAGGAAAGGTGAATCTTCAGGGAGAGCAACTCAAGTGATTTTTGTTTTATTCTCAGAAATTCCTGATGAGAAGGAAGAGGCCACCTCTAACTCCCCCTCCAAGGAGAGTAAGAAGGAATCATCTCTGAAGAAGAGTCGAATTCTCTTAGGGAAAACAGGAGTCATCAAGGAGGAACCACAGCAGGTGTGTGAAGAAAAAAGGGGCTTAGCGTTTAGAGGAACAAAGGTAATAGAGAAGGATAGTCTGACCAAGATTTGTTTGATTATCTATCATTAGAACATGTCTCAGCCAGAAGTGAAAGATCCGTGGAATCTCTCCAATGATGAGTATTATTACCCCAAGCAACAGGGTCTTCGAGGCACCTTTGGAGGGAATATTATCCAGGTACAAATAGTGTCTTTTCTGTGGTAGAGGAGAACCCCATGGCTTTGTTCTGACGGAGGATATGGGAAAATCTTGCTTAGGCTGGAATTAGCTAATTTTAACCCTTCTATTTCCTGTTTTAGCATTCAATTCCTGCTGTGGAATTACGGCAGCCCTTCTTTCCCACCCACATGGGGCCCATCAAACTCCGGCAGTTCCATCGCCCACCTCTGAAAAAGTACTCATTTGGTGCACTCTCTCAGCCAGGTCCCCACTCAGTCCAACCTTTGCTAAAGCACATCAAAAAAAAGGCCAAGGTATAATTGAATTCTGGTTAGAAAACAGCTATAAAGAATATTGGGGTATAAATTAGGGAAATGTACCAGATATTAGATTCTATCAGGGAGTTGGTTACTTTCTCAGATGTGATAGAATGTTATTTTATTTATTTAGGAGAATGTCTTTATTGTTAGGTGATGCTGTGAAAATATTTAAAGGTGAGGTGTCACAATGACTGCATCTTTCAAAAACCATCCAGCAAAGTCTATAGAAAGGTAAAGGTTAAAAAAAAGGCAAAATATAAACAGCAACGTGGGATAAGTGTTCGTAGTACAGTAGTCCTTAGGTATCTCTGGGAGATTGGTTCTAGGACCTCCTCTGGATACCAAAATCTTTAGATGTTCCAGTTTCTGATATGATAGCATAATATTTGCACATAACCTATGCACATCCTCTCCTATACTTTAAATCACCTCTAGATTACTTACAATATCTATTCCAATGTAGATGCTATGTGAACGGTTGTTACACTGTTATTGTTTAGAGAATAATGACAAGACAAGTCTGTACCTGTTCAGCACAGATGCAGTTGTATTTTCTGAATATTTTGTATCTATGGTTGGTTGAATTCACGGATGCAGAACCATACATGGATATGGAGGGCTGACTGTACTATTGTTTGGACTTTACAGTAGTTTGAAAAATAGGTAAAATCTTTTTGGTGTGTTTGTCTCAGATTGAACAACATCATTGTGTGTAGTAGTTATCCTGTCAGGAGCTAGATGGTATTTTCTTTGTTCTGGACAGATGAGAGAACAAGAGAGGCAAGCTTCAGGTGGTGGAGAGATGTTTTTTATGCGCACACCTCAGGACCTCACAGGCAAAGATGGAGATCTTATTCTTGCAGAATATAGTGAGGAAAATGGACCCTTAATGATGCAGGTTGGCATGGCAACCAAGATAAAGAACTATTATAAACGGGTGAGTCTCTGCTCAGAGAATTTTTTTCCACACATAATTCTGCTTATGCTTCCATAAACTTTTATGTACAAACTTTTTGTTATTAACATAGCTGTAGTTAGAGATCTACTGGTAATCTGTGAACATATACCATAAATTTCGTGGGAGAAAGGAGTAGTACCTGTTTTGTAGTTAAAACATGTTGAGCATCTCAAACCTCAAAATTCGAAGTAAAAATCCAAAACTTTTTGAGCACTACTAACATGATACTCAAATGAAATACTCACTGGAGCATATTGGATTTCCAGATTTGGGATGCCCAACTGGTAAGTATAATGCAACTATTCCAAAATCCAAAACACTTCTGGTCACAAACATTTGGATGAGGGTTACTCAACATGTGTTAGTAAAGTGCTATGCTCATATTGTGTAGGATTATTGATTATATTCTGTGATTAATAACTGGGTCTTCTGTGTTCCTTTTAGAAACCTGGAAAAGATCCTGGAGCACCAGATTGTAAATATGGGGAAACTGTTTACTGCCATACATCTCCTTTCCTGGGCTCTCTCCATCCTGGCCAATTACTGCAGGTGAGGAATTCTTTCCTGTTTTTACTGTTAACTAAGGAAATTGATAAATGAGGAGCCAGTCAGCTCAGAAAGAACTATTATAATTTTAGTTGATTGAGATGCTTTAATATTAAGTACAAAGAAGATAAGTATAATCCAAAAATGTTTTAAAGAAATCTTTTTCTTAAAACTGGCTGTAAATTGTGTTGTTCTTAGGCTAAATGTAAAATAGGTTTTTAAAAATACACACTGGTAAGCTCAGTAACATCTGGGAAGCATAAGGAAGTCAACCTAGGATGAATTTACTATAATTTATGAATATTTAATTTTTGTGTATAAAATTGATAACATTTTGATCATATTAGCTGTGGTTATTGTGAATATTGAACCACACCTGAACTGTGCCATCTGCAGTCCCCAGCCATAGTGAAATGCCTTTTTTTCCTCCTTTATTCTAATGGGTGTAAAGAGGCCCTCTTGTAACAGCTTTTATATATTTAAGGGGGGAAGTATGGTGGTCCACAAATGATGTGGAAAATCTCTAGCACTGTCCTATCTTTTTTTTCTCCATTTCATTTCTCTTGGCAATCTTAACCATTTGTCCTACTCTTATACCTAGTTTATTCTACTGTTGTTATCCTTTACTCTCCTAAAACGTCTGCAAAACTCAGTTTTTTTCTTTATCCTTTACATCCATAGTCTATTGCCTACCAGATTTTTAGTATCATCTTTGTATTGTTGTTCTCCTTTCCCTGAAACTTTCTGTTGAGGTTTTCTACCAGTTCAGCCTCTTCTTTTGTGTCTACTTTTGTAGTCTCTTAAAGATCTTTTTTTTTTTTTTGAGACGGAGTCTTGCTCAGTCGCCCAGGCTGGAGTGCAGTGGCGTGGTCTTGGCTCACTGCAAGCTCCGCCTCCCGGGTTCACGCCGTTCTCCTGCCTCAGCCTCCCAAGTAGTTGGGACTACAGGCGCCCACCACCACGCCCGGCTAATTTTTTGCATTTTTAGTAGAGACGGGGTTTCACAGTGTTAACTAGGATGGTCTCGATCTCCTGACCTTGTGATCCACCCGCCTCGGCCTCCCAAAGTGCTGGGATTACAGGCAGGAGCCACCGCGCCCGGCTCTTAAAGATCTTTTTCTGGCCGAGTGCAGTGGCTCACGCCTGTAATCCCAGCACTTTGGGAGGCCGAGGTGGGCGAATTACCTGAGGTCAGGAGTTTGAGACCAGTCTGACCAACATGGAGAAACTCTGTTTCTACTAAAAATACAAAATTAATCGGGTGTGGTGGCACATGCCTGTAATCCCAGCTACTTGGGAGGCTGAGGCAGGAGGATCACTTGAACCCAGGAGGCGGAGGTTGCAGTGAGCCGAGATCGCGCCATTGCACTCCAGCCTGGGCAACAAGAGCGAAACTCCATCTCAAAAAAAAAGATCTTTTTCTGTATTCTGTAATTCTTTTTCTGTGTTCTTCTGTAATTCTTTTTCTGCCTGTATTTCACATTTAGAATTTTCTTTCCACACTCAGTGATGTTCTTCCCTCTTTCTGTCTACTCTTCTGATTTTCGGCGAAGGCTTTCCTTAGTCTCAGGCTTCTTATGACAGTTGATCCCTATCTTGCCTCTACTTAAACTGGCTTAGACGTTTCTGTTCAGCTGTCCTGTGCCCTACTGTCTTGTGTTTTCCTTTTTTTTTTCCAGCCTGTTCTGTCTAGCACTCTTTATACCTCATTGGTTGTTTTATGATTTGTTTGTTTGGAGACAGGGTCTGGCTCTGTCACCCAGGCTGGAGTGCAGTGGCACGATCTTGGCTCACTACAACTTCTGCCTCCTGGGCTCAAGCCATCCTCCCACCTCAGCTTCCCAAGTAGATGGGACAACAGGTGCATGCCACCACATCCAGCTAATTATTGTATTTTCTGTAGAAATGGGATTTTGTCATGTTGCCCAGGCTGGTCTTGAACTCCTGAGGTCAAGTGATCTACCCGCTTCGGCCTCCCATAGTGCTGGGATTACAGGCATGAGCCACCGTGCCCAGCGTTGTTTTATTTTTTAATTAGTTCACTAATTTATCCAACAAATGTTGCTCTCACCTGTTGTGTGTCGGGCTACACTGTGGTCTAGAGTAGTAGTGTAATACTTGGTACATTATTAAGTGATTTTCATATGTAATCTTCGTAGCAGTCCTGTGAGGTATAGGCATTTTTAAGTACCTCTGTTTTGTAGATGAGGAAAACTAAGCTTAGATATGTTAAATAGCTTAAATAGACTTGTTAAAAAGCTTAAATAGACATGTTAAATAATATAGGTAATGGCAGAGCTAGCATCATTTGAATTCACTTCCTGTATTTTCTCCCCTACTGACTCTGAAAGATAGTGGATGAAAAATTGTTTAATCACATTTGATAATCCATATTTTAATTTATTTGTATTACTGGATAGACTTTAGATGGCATAATGAAGATGGAGAGCAATAAGCTTGATTTTTCTTTCTCAGCAGTTGACTGAATTTCCTGGGGCTACTCTGTACATGATTTTTGTGTTTTTACTTTTGTTAGGCATTTGAGAACAACCTTTTTCGTGCTCCAATTTATCTTCATAAGATGCCAGAAACTGATTTCCTGATCATTCGGACAAGACAGGGATACTATATTCGGGAATTAGTGGATATTTTTGTGGTTGGCCAGCAGTGTCCCTTGTTTGAAGTTCCTGGGCCTAACTCCAAAAGGGCCAATACACA